CGACGTCGACGACGACGAATACTACTACTGCTACTGCTACTGCTACTGCTACTGCTACTGCTGCTGCTACTACCACTACTACTACTACTACTACTAGTACTACTACTATTATTACTTCTTCTACTACTACTACTACTACTACTGCTACTGCTACTACTACTACTACTACTAGTATTCGTACTAGTGCTAGTACTAGTACTAGTACTAGTACTACTACTACTACCACCACTACTACTACTACTACTACTACTACTACTACTACTACTACTACTACTACTACTACTACTACTACTACTACTACTACTACTACTACTACTACTACTACTACTACTACTACTACTACTACTACTACTACTACTACTACTACTACTACTACTACTACTACTACTACTACTACTACTACTACTACTACTACTACTACTACTACTACTACTACTACTACTACTACTACTACTACTACTACTACTACTACTACTACTACTACTACTACTACTACTACTACTACTACTACTACTACTACTACTACTACTACTACTACTACTACTACTACTACTACTACTACTACTACTACTACTACTACTACTACCACTACCACAAGCGTCTACTACCTCCACTGCTGCTGCTGCTGCTGCCACTGCCAGTACACCCCATGCCGAGGAGACGGCGCTGCGCAGATTGCCCTGGTTCTGTGGGCTGTGCGCTCGAGGCTTCGGTGCTGCGAGAGCGCGGAGGCAGCGCAGGTGGGGAGGAAGGGGGAAGAGGAAAGGAGGAGGACGGCATCCTGGGATCCGGGCGCTGCATTTTTCCACGCCAGGTCTTCACGAGAAATTCTTGGACGGCACTGGGGCCCTGTCAGCGCCCCCAGAGGCAAAATCTTGCCGAGTACCTTCCGTCGCGCTTCTGGTCACGTCGTAAGGACTGGGCACGAGGGCCAACCCCCAGACCTCTCTTGGAACGCGGTCCGACCAGCATTCCGGGGCGGATCCAGCCGTGGCGACGCGGACGCCGAGCAGATGCCGAACCCCAGCGCGTACGAAGCGGGGCCCCGCGAAGCGGCCATGGCTCGGCGCTCTGGCGGCCGTTCGGGGCGACTTGGGCACGCTCTCGGCCCTCTCGGCGAGGCGCAGCTGCTGGGACGCACCCCCGAGGCTGGAAGGCCGTCGAGGGCCGACGAGAACGCCAGGGAAAGCCTGGAGCCTGGCACCTGCTGGCGCCCCTGAGCCTGGGCCCTCCCAGGTTCCAGAGGCCGCCCGAGGATGGGCCAACGGCGGAGCGCCCGGCGGCGACGGGACCCCGTCCCACCACGAGGGGCACAAACCGCGACGGGAGCTTTCTGCCGGTGCACTCTCGGCCTCCAGGGGCCGTCGCGGGGCACCGCAGGCCCAGGACGAACGGCTCGGGGCGGGAAGTGGGCGCCGGGGAAGCGGCCCAACGACCTCCAGGGGCCCACTTCGCGAAAAGGTCACCACGTCGGAGGTCTGGGGGGGAGGGGGGGCCTCGGAGGGGGGACGAGCGAGTGATCCCGAATCACAACACGCACCGCAACGAGACGCCCTCGTGGGCTATTCACCCTTCCAGCCGTCTCTGCCGGTGTAGTTTCTCTCGAGGCGCCACGCTGCTGTATGTCACTTCGCGCAGTCTTTTAGTGACGTTCCTAGCTGGTCGACGTCGCGCTAATGGAAAGAAGGAGCGAAAGGGGCAGGTATCAGCAGTGGCATAACAGAAGTGGTAACAGCAGCAGTACCAGCAGGGGTGATGATTTGGTGCCCGCGGTTGCAGCATTAGTAGCGGCAATGCTCATCAGCGAAACCAGCGATGCCAGCGAGCATTAGTACTTAGCAGCATTAGGCAGCGCAGGCAGCAGCAATTGCAGCAACGGTGGCATGCGCAGCAACAACAAGAGCAGCAACAAAAACAGGAGCACCAATGCCAAATAACACGGGGTCGGAATTCTGGGGCCCTGCCCCGCTGGGATCAGGGCAGATGCCCAGAGCCTTCGCAGCCCCAGACCTCTGGCGAGCTGGAACAGAGTCGCGACGGCCGGCACTTCCACGCCTGGGCCCAGGGCCCCCTGTCGGCACAAGGGCCCGCAAGAGGCCGCCTGCGGTGGCAGCACAACCGTAAACCGACCGAACCGACAGCGAAACCGAAACCGACCGAAACTGGCAGGTCGCAAGCAGCGTTCGCTATAGCGTTTGGCCAAGGACGCTGCCGCGTCTGGCAGCCACGAATGGCACCGATTTTTCCTTCCCAGGCTGACGCTGCCGAGGGAATTCGTTCATCGTGTGAGTTCGGGAATCATTGAACATTTGTCGTAGAAAAAACCGCCTAGAAGGGCTCAGTGGCGCAGCAGCCGACCGGAGTGAGCCGACCAAGTGCAGCCAAACTTCGAGGAGGCCCGAACCGACCGGGCCGAGGACACACATGGACTTGCCCACGGCGGTAGCGTCCACACGACTGCTGTGGTCGAGGGCCCAGCCCTGGTGCTCCGCGGAATGAAACCGAGTGAAGACTCCCCGAAACCGAGTGAGGACTCCCCAGACATGCGATATATATATATATATATATATATATATATATATATATATGTATATATATGTACATATATGTCTATACATACATACATACATACATACATACATACATACATACATACATACATACATACATACATACATACATACATACATACATACACACATATATATATATATATACATAACTCGAAAAATAATATGGGCCCCCAGAGGGCCAGACCCCGTCCCGAACCGTCTGCTGACGGCCCCGGGGCCCGGCGAGGGCCCCTGGAGGCCGAAAAGAGCCGACAACCTCCCCTCGAGGATTCTGTCCACGACGCCAGCATGTCTGCGTCTGGTGCTGCGCGGGTGGAAGTCGCGTCGGGGCGTCGGGGCATCTGGGGCGGGGTTGGGGCAGAAAGCGCGCCCGCCGGCCGCCGCGAGCCCCAGCCAGCGCTGGCAGGCAGGGCAAGGACGAGGGGGGAGGGGAGCAGCAGCAGGCGAAGTGAGGCGAAACCAGGAGGAGGATTCGGGGGAGGATAAATCGAGGATCTCTGAGATCCGGCGGCTCTGGAGGATGCATCGGGCGTCGCGGCCTTCTCAGAGCTTTTGGGAACGCTCTGAGGGCTGAGGTCGTTCCACAACGCTCTGGAACGGACTTATCCTCGTCCTAGCCCCGTCCGACGAAGGGCGGGGGGTTTTTAGCCTCAACGGCGACTCCAAATCAGTCAAGCAGGCAGCACCTGTGGGACATGCTGTTTGCAAGCGTGGGCACGCGAGAGGCTCCTCGAGGAGCCGCGCTGCCACAGCCCAGGTCAGACCCCCACAGCAGCGCGAGAGAACCAGCGTGCGGCAGCTCGGCAACACAAGACTGGCGAAAGGGGGGATGTCAGGCGGCCGCTGGGAGGCCTGTGTGGGAACGACTGGGAACAGCTGGCGGCAGGCTGGGCTGGGGAGCTGGCGAGCAGGCCAATTAAGCCGGATTGAGCCAGGCCCAGCTGTGTTACGCGAGGCTTCACCAGATGATGCCAGACTAGTACCGATGAGACACCATGGCCCAGAACCCATTCAACCTCCTAGCAATTGGATCCTCGTAGGAAGGGGAAAAAGGACCAGCCGACCGCGAAGGAGGAAACTAGGACAAATATTCTCCTAACCCTCATCCCGTTCCAAACGGCTCTCTGGCTGGATATCGCTCCTCCTTCCCCCTCCTCCTCTCCCTCCTCCTCCTCGTCCTTCTCCTTCTCCTCCTCCTCCTCCTCCTCCTCCTCCTCCCATAGGCGGCCACTAAGAAACGAAAAACGTCACAGCCTCTCATCCCCCTGCCCTTCTTGATTGTCCTCCTCTTTCTGTTTCTCCTCCTCCTCCTCCTCCTTCTCCTCTTCCTCCTCCTCCTCCTCCTCCTCTTCTTCCTCCTCCTCCGCCACAATAACACAACATACATTCTACTCTCCTCTCTCCCCTGACGACGTTTGGAAAATATCCGCCCCCCACCTCCGCGTACTATTATCTTTTACACACAAGATTCCCAGACTTTTTTTTGTGTGTGTGTGTCTGTGTTATCAAAATGTGGCTCCCGCTGAAGCGCTGGCCTCATTTTCGAGATTCCGCTCGTTTCGAATCGTGCTCCCGCTGCAACGCTGGCCTCATTTCCGCGCTTCCTCTCGTTCCGACTTGTGCTCCATCTGCAGCGTTGGCCTCACTTCCGCGCTCCCGCTCGTTCCGAATCGTGCTGCCGCTGCAGCGCTGGCGTCATTATTTCCAGTGCCATGCCATGGCAATGTTTTCGGTCCTTCCAAATCGGCCCCCACATCTAGACAATGGCCCCTCGAAAAACCTATCGGAAGTGATTCCACTTTCCGTGTCGATTCGTTGATTTTTTGGGCCGTAGAAGCCCCCCCCACTTTGGGGCGTCGCCACGCCATGCTATGCCATGCTACGCGTTGATCTTCAACGCCATGCTATGACATGTAATACTAGGCCATGCTATGGCATGCTACGACATCCAGTGATGGGAGGGAGGGGTAGGACGTCAGAGATGACGCGCGCACCTAGCTTGTCCTCCCCCTCTCCCTCCCCCTCTCCCTCTTGGACGCAAGCGTCGTGCACTTTCCTCGCTCGATCAAGGTCGGGCCTTCCGTTCGCGCAGCGGATGCCCGACGCACGCTCACTTCTTGCCGAAGTCGGCGCCAGACAGGATGGCCTTCGCGTCGGTGATCGCGTCCATCTCCTCGGCCCTGGCCTGCTGGCGAACGTCGAAGTACCTCTCTGCTCACTTTCCCTCTTTTCTAAGTGTTGTGAAATACACGACGGGCGTCCTAGCTAAAAACGTACGACATGAGTATTGGGTCGACAAGTCTGGCTGTGGTTCTACACGGCGTTGCGATTTTCACGACGTCAGCGCTAGTCTGGCCTCTGCGGCGTCAGCCGGGCGCGCCCGCGCGCCCGGGGCGCGGAGTGACAGCCGGGCGGCGTCCGGCGTCGTCAGGGGGGGGTGGCGCCTCCGCCCGCCACCTCGCCGAGCAGCCATTCGTGCAGCCTGGCGGGCACCGTGGCGTTGGCGGCCTGGCAGCTCGCCAGCACGGCGCTGGCGGCCTCGGAGCTGGACTGGGCGCCGACGGGCAGCGGGGTGCCGAGGACGAACTGGGAGTCGCCCAGCCTTGACGGCGCACACTTTTGATACTTACAGGTCTCTGGGCGTTCGCGGAGGTCCTCGTCGCCACGGCTGGGCGCGGATCGACGCACTGGTCCAGAAGGGGCCTGGGAGGGTCGGGGGGCCAGTGTTGAGCGAGCTGTCGTGAGGGGCCACGGCGAGGGACGGGGGGGGGGCGGCGGCCTTCTCAGAAGGCCCAGGGGGGGGGGGCGCTACGAAGGCCACGGCGCCACGGAACGCAAGTATGCTGCCGGTAGGCGGGGCGACCTCTGAGGACGCCCCCCCCCCCCGCCCTGCCCCCTTCTGCACGCCGCCGACAGCCGTGGGCACAGGTACCACACCGAGATCGCACGGCGGCTCCGGCGGCGCGGCGGGAGAACCTCGTGCGGCACCGCGTCCGACCAGAACAGCACCAGTGTGTCCATCCTGGGCAGCACCTCAGCGACCACCCTGCGCGGAGGCGCCGGCGGCGAGCATGGCCCGGCGGCGGCCCCGGATGACTCCGGCAGGCCTGGCGCCATGAGGCGCAGGCAGCCGCCGTCCTCGTCGGATTTTTTTTAAGGCCACAGTTGACCTCACCAATTAGAAGGGCCCCCCCTCCCTAGGCCTGGGCCGGGGCCTCCTTAGCAGCGATCCTGGCACGGACCTCTTGGAGGCCTGGGAGGGGGCGCCGTCCTCGTCGGTCCACTCGGGGTTCGTGTAGTAGACGCACGTGAGCAGGCGGCCGTTGTCGCGGCGCGTGTTGTCGTAGTGCCACACGTACCTTCGAAGAAGGACGGCGGCACAAGCACGCACGCTCGGAGGTCCTCGCGGAATTCTTGATGGGCGCCGACCGTCGACGGGTGCACGTGTTTATGCCTCTGAATTCTTGATGGGCGCCGACCGTCGACGGGTGCACGTGTTTATGCCTCTTTTTCTTCCTCGAATGCCTGGACCCAGGCTCGTACACCGCCGCCATCGGCCACGAGCGGAACTCGCTGCGAGGCGGGGAGTCATCCCCATCCACCGCCAGGGAACCGACGTCCTGGGGCCCCAACGGGCGGTGGACGTGAACATCTTTTGGCCCTCGGGGGCCCGAATACGTGCCAAATCACGGGGGCGCACAAACATGGATTAGCGATCCATGGATTTGGCGCGAGGTCGCCAAATCCATGGATCGGGGAAGGCGCCCTCCCCAAAATGCGGCCAGTGCCGCTTCGTTCGGCGGCGGAAATCTGCGACTTCCCGTGTAAACGGGACCCTTCGCTAGCCCACACCCCCTTGATCCATGCTTGCGATCGCCTGAACATCCACCGCCTGCCGCGGTCCCCGAAGATCGATCCCCCAGGCGGCGGTTCTGTCTAAATCCCCGCCTCGGCCTCGCAGCACCCGAGCCGCGCCGCGCACTCCCCCCCGCCCTCGCGCAGGCCGACCACGAGGGCGTCCAGGCTCCGGGTCAACGCTTCGGGCAGCTCGTCCACGAGGTCTGCGAGGTCTCCACGGCCTCCGCCGAGCCTGGGGCGAGAGTAATGTCCTGATGCGATTGGCTCAGGATGCGTCCCAAGAGTTTTGGAGCATTGAGCATCGGTTAGCCGATCCCTGTCCCCACGGGCGTGGCCTGCGTCCCACTAGCCGACCTACCCTCCTAGATGGGGGTATAAGGTGTTTCCTTCGGGTTTCGAGGGGCATATCCCCAACTGGGGTGCTGATATGGTGGGGTCCGGATACGGATTGTGATGGGGATCTGGGTCGGTTCAACGATGCTTGAGCATCTGAAGGCCGCCGTTTCAGCAGCCCGTTTGGAACATCAGGTGATCTCGGAGGTCCTGGAAATCGGTGACCGCGGCTCAAGAGGTCCCGACCCCTTCCCAGGGGGGTGGTTTCCCGTCCCAGATCCATTTTTGAGGGCCCCCGGGCCTGGGTCCAATATTGTAAAACGAAGCCAGAACGAGGATCGATTCGGGTGCCGATAAATCGAGAATCTCTGAGATCCCGCGGCTCTGGAGGATGTCTCGGGCGCCGCGGCCTTAGAGCGTTCCAGAACGCTCTGGAACGGATTCCTCTTCATCACAGCCCCGCCCGATCATGGGCCCGAGAGGCCGCATTAAAAACCGCCAGCATTGAACACATCAGATCCTCGGACCTCTGGTCGGCGCCTCATCTCTCAGGAGGGGAAACAAACACACAGACACAATGAATCGTCGATTCCCGCGAGAAGGTGCGAAACATATGGGAAGTGGGCGGGAATTGGAAATCGTATCCTCGGATCTCTGGCTTGAGGGGCAACGATAGGGGGGGACTGGCATAGGGGAGGACACATCGACCCGGAATCGGCGATACATCGCCGATAATAGATCGGGGATAGGCCTCCGATAGTGAATCCGACCTTCGTGGGCAGGTTGGGGTTATCGGGTCCCTATCGGCGATCGATGGGCGATTGGGGGTCGATGCATCACTCCCTATGCCCGTCCCCCCTATCGTTGTGATGGAACGAAGAATGGCATAAACATGAAAACTCGGAGGTCCGCGCGGACCTCAAATTTATCATGCTTATGCCATTCTTCTATTCCCTTAACCAAAGGAGGAATAAACACCCAGACCGGACAACTGGCGTTTACGAAGCGACCCTGGGCGATTACTAAAACAGCCCTGCCCTGTTCGATTCCTTCTTGGGGCGCTTTTGCTGAACGACTTCGCGTGCTGGTGTGGTTATTACGGGGGTGGATTTTTAGACCTCTACCTAAATTTTGAGCAGGGACCGACCGTCCCAGCACTCCTATAGGCTTACCACGACATATTCTTAGAACACAAGTATCTCAGTGCGACCCTACCTAGGAGTTGGGGCATCTAGGGAAGCAATATCTACATCTACACCGACAGCTACACTATCATCTACACCTGCATCTACATCTACATCTACATCAACAGCACTATGCTGCGCTATGTTATGATATGCTATGCTATGCTGCGCTCTGCTATGCTATGCTAGGCTATGATATGATATGCTATGCTGCGCTATGCTATGCTATGTCATGCTATAGTATGCTGCGCCATGCTATGCTATGCTATGCTATGCTATGCTATGCGGCGCTATGCTATGCTATGCTATGCTGCGCTATGTTATACTATGTTATGCTATGCTGCGCTATGCTGCGCTATGCTATGCTATACTATGCTATGCTGTGCTATGCTATGCTATGCTGCGCTATGTTATGCTATGCTATGCTATGTTGCGCTATGCTATGCTGCGCTATGCTATGCTATGATATGCTGTGACATGCTATGCTATGCTATGATATGCTATGCTAATGCTGCGCTGCGCTAAGCTGAGCTGAGCTGAGCTAAGCTAGGCTAGGTTAGGCTAAGCTAAACTAAGCTAGGCTAGGCTAGGCTCAGCTAAGCTAAGCTAGGCTAGGCTAAGCTAAGCTAAACTAGGCTAAGCTAAGATGAGATAAGCAACGCTAAGCTAAGGGGACGCAGCTGGGGGAGCCGCGGGGCGGATCCTGGGGGAACCGCCCGGGGCGCTTTGCACTGACCGGCCCCTTTAAGCCCACAGAGTAAGAACCCTTCTAGGCAGAGCCTCGGTAGGGAAAAATGTTCTAAAAACAAAAGCAGTGGTCTTAGAACATAAGCCCGACGTGTTAAAACAAGACAGTCCCAGCCAGAACTGCTCTAAGCACATTCGTGGAAACCACAAGCAAAGGTTCTCAGAAGAACCTTGCTCGGTAGGCCTATGGGCACGCCAGGACGCTCCGCCACTGCCGGAACATTCGAAAAGTCCTTTCCTCGGACCTCGGGCTCCTCGCAGGCCTGCAGCCCTCCAGCGCCGGCGTCAGGCCCCGCCACGCCTCGGCCTGCCGGGCCAGCGCCTCGGCCGCCGCGCCGCCGAGGAAGCGCGGCAGGACTGCGGCGCCGTGCGCCTCCAGGGCCTCGCGGGCGGCCTCGAGCCTCGCGGCCCCTGGAGAGGGAGGGAGGGAGGGAGGGAGGGAGGAGATGAGCAGGGGCCCACCAGCACCAGCACCAGCACCAGCAGCAGCAGCAGCAGCAGCAGCAGCAGCAGCAGCAGCAGCAGCACCACCAGCATCAGCACCAGCACCAGCACCAGCACCAGCACCAGCACCAGCACCAGCACCACCAACGCTGAGCCATGCATCCGGCAGGACGCGTGGGCGGAAGAGTGCGCGATCGGCAACTCTTCGGATGAACCGCTGACAAGTGCAAGAAAACGCGTTATCCCAGCTAGTGGGATTGATCGTTCTGCGCTCTTGTTATCTGGGTTTTCGTCGTTCCCCCCCACCTCCCATATGTTCCCGTATTCTCCTGGGGGTCGACGATTAATGGTGGCTGTGTGTGTGTGTGTGTGTTTTCCCCCTCCTGAAAAATGCGGCGCTGGCCAGAGAGATCCGAAGATCTCATCTTTCCAATCCGTCCTTGTGTCCTCTGGGGCCCACTATTGGGCCCAGAGGCCATTAAACAGGGATCCAGGACGAAAAATACCCGCAGGGGAGGGGTCGGGACCTCTGGGACCGCCGGTGAACAAAAAACAGATCGGCGGATCTGGGTAGGGGGGGGACTGGCATAACTAGGGGGGGCACATCGACCTGGGATCGGCGATACATCGCCGAGAGATCGGCGATGGGCCACCGATGGCGGATCCGCACGTTCCTGGGCAGGTTGGGGCTGTCGGGCCCCCATCGGCGATCAGTGGGCGACTGGCGGTCGATGCGTCCCCCGTAGGCCCATCCCCAAGTATCGCCGCCCCTGAGCAGACGGCTGCGCAAACCCGGGGATCCTGGCGCTGCAACTTCTTCACGCAGGGCGCCTTCGCCCGGTTTCGGGGCCTGGAGCCTTCACATGCCGATCCGGCCTGACAAGTGACGCAGGAAGATGGGGCCCGTGGCTCCGTAAGGGATTTTCGGAGATGTTTCTTTGCTTGTTCCGCAACGTCAGATCTGAGGGATCGGAGCTCTGCGCGGATTTTTGGGATCGGCGCTGGACTCCCTGGCGGCGCCTCCGGTGTGCAAAACATGGACTTTCGACGGCCCGCGCAGACTTCTTGGATCCGCGCTGGACCCCCCTCTTTGGCGACTCCGGCGCCGCCCCTGGTGCGCTTCGCGGGCCAGGGAGGGCGACCCAGCGCCGATCCAAGAAATCCGCGCGGACCTCTGAAATATTGTGTTTGCAGCGGAGGCCAGTCCGCAAGAAAGCCTCCACAAGAAAGCCATCCCTGAGACCCCAGGACGTCCATTGATTTTTGGTGCGGGAGCGTTACGCTGTCCATGGCAAAACCATCGAAACCCAAGAAACCCAGGGCACCTTGGAGGCAAGCAGGGTGTTTCTTAACATGGGCCCCCACTGTATGAAACTTTTGTTCTGCTAGCCCCGCCGACGCAGACGAGGATGCCCTCGTCGCGCGGGTCGAGCACGAGCCCGGCGTGGTGGGCCGCCTTCAAAGTTCGGAGTGCGTAAGCTTCGAGGTTTTCGGACGTGATCCGACGACGTCGAAACTTCGAACTTCGAAGACTTCGTCGGTCCCCAGAGCTTTTCGAACCGACGAAGACTACGTCGGATCCCAAAGGTTCCCTGGCCTCGCGGGGTGCCTTCCATCAGCTGCGCCTCGTCGAGCTCCCGAGGTGCCCGGAGCGTGCCGAACGGCCGCCAGAGGCCCGAGGCATGCCCCGGAAGCCGCCTCCCGGCAGAATAGCTCCACGTCGCTCTCGTCCAGGATGGGGCCGCCCGCCCCGTCGGGCGTGACGAAGAAGCAGTCCGCCGACGCGAGCTCCTCGGCGGCGGTCAGAGGTGCACTCAAAGCCCGTCGCTCGGGCACCATCCCGACCCGCGCCCAGCCGCCCATCGTGCCGGTGGCCGCCAGAGGACGCCGAAGGCCAGGCCACCGACGGCCGCCAGCGGCCGCCGATGGCCGCAGGTGGCCGTCGAAGGCCGCCGGCGGCCGCCGAGGTCCGCGCCACAGCCGCGGCGGGGGAGCCCTGAGTACTTCCAGGCCGACGGGAGGCTCCTCGGTGGCGGCTTCGCTGCCCTTGGGCAGCAGCCGTCGCGCCAGCTCGCGCCGCGCCCCCCTGTCCAGGCGGCGGCGCCGCCGACGCCGAGAAACGAAGACGACGACGCCGACGACGGCGGCGGCGGCGACGGCAGCGTCACGGCGACGTCTTCGTCGTCGTCGTCGTCCTCCTCCTCCTCCTCCTCCTCCTCCTCCTCCTCCTCCTCCTCTCCTCCTCCTCCTCCTCCGCCGCCGCCGCCGCCGCCGCCGCCGCCGCCATCGGGCACGTCGGCGGCGCCGCCTGTCCAGGGAGTCGAGGCTCACCGTCCTGAGGCCGACCCCATCCGCCTCGCAGCGCTCCCTCGCCAGCGCGGCCAGCCGCGGCGCGGGGGCACCGGGGTCGCCGCCGCTGCGCCACGCCAGGAGCATGCGGCGCGGGCGCGCGGGCCCAGGGCGACAACGACGAAGACTGCGACGCCGGCGACGACGACGACGGCGACGGCGACGACGCCGACGACGATGACGACGACGATGACGACAGCGCCGGCGACGCCGAGCCGCGGAGGCCTCCGGGGGGGCCTGGCGGAGCCCGGCGCGGGCTCGCAGGCGAGGCCTTCCCCCCAGAGGGGCGCGCCGGGGGGCGAGTCGAGGATCCAGGGTATCCAGGCGCTTGGTCAGTACTCCTGAGCAGCAGCGTGCCTGATCGATCGACCTATAGTCTGGAAATCCTGGCCAGGAATCCTCGATCGTTCGTTCGCCCTGAAATCCTGGTCAGTGACGTGCCCCCGGATAGCTCCGAGGGTCGAGCTTGGACCCTGGGGCCCGGACCCCCCGGCGAAGTGAAAAAAGCACGACGGGGGGTTCAACGCTGCAGCTCCTTCATCCCCCTCCTTCCCCCTCGGGGAGGGGGTGATCACTGCTCCTCACTGAATGGACAAGCTCTCCCCCGCCCGACCGGCCGCCAACCCTGAGCTATGAGCCCTCCCCCCACCTTCCCCGACTAAAGCAATACAGAGTGCACGTGGCGGCAAAATCGGGGCCGTGAGGGATCTCCGCGAACACGTTGCGTAGGAATCAGACACGGGTGGCGGGTGTAGGAGCAAGTGTGTTTGCTGTGCGCTGCCCGTCCCTGTCAAAAAACGCGTTGAGGGTGCACCTGCCATGCTCCGCGCTGACCACCCCGCTCCCATTTTGCAAGTGTTTTAGTCACGGGCAATCGGGGGGCGACATATTTTCCGCTGTGTGCTGCCACATGCGCAGGCGCACCTAGCAGACCCTATGCGCGTGATGCGTCGCACACCTGGTGCTAGTATTTGTTCCCAACCGATGTCAAGCCAATGGCGACCTCTGCCTGAGCTGAGTCTCACGCGAGGTGGAAGGGCGAGTGTGAGTGAGCGAGACAGCCTGTGGCGTTCCCGTTGGGATCTTGACCCCTTCTCCTTGTGAATAAGCACTCCCTCCCCCACCCGACCGGAGACAAACCAGGCAGCCAGGTGCAATGCCAAGCCGCCCCGCCATCCCCGTCAAAAAACATAACGAAATCTACTTCGCGACAAAATCTGGATCACGCTCGGGCACCCCACAAGGTCACAGTACGGAGTTTGTTACAAGGACGACGGGGGGGCCATCATGTTGCCTGGTGTGTGTGTGTGTGTGTGTGTAGGTCCACCGTCCTCGTCAAACACATGTGCAAAATGCACGCTGCGGCAAAATGTTGGACCATGTGCGGGCGCCCCGCGAACATTTTGCAGTGTTATTTGGCAAGGGTGACTGGGGCGCTCTGGCACCGCGCGGCGCACCTCGCGGCCGTCATGCACCTGGCTGGCGTCTGCATTGGTTCCCGATGCTTGTCGATGGCGGCCCCTGTCCATGCTGAGGCTCGGGTGCTACTCACGAGGGCGGGTGGCAGTGAGCGAGGCGTCTTGCGGTTTGTGGGTGTCTTGATCACTGTTTCTTATGGACATGCACCCCCTCCCCCACCCGGTTGGCGGCCAACTCGGAACCATGCCGACTCCTTGCGGGCCCGCCCCCCACCATCCCTGTCCAAGAACAATACAAACCGCACTCTGCCTCCACATTTGGAGCATGCGCGGCCAACCCCTCCCACCATCCCTGTCGAAAAATACTGCAAAGTACACTTTGGGCGAAAGCCTTGGGTCATGTTCGTGAGGCCAGCGAGCACTTTGTACCGTTTTTTGATAGGGACGGCGGGGGTGTCAACATATTCCCTGCTGTGCGCAGGGCTACCATCCCTGACAAAAAACCATACAACATGCACCTCGCGGCAAAATCTGGATCATGCGCGGCCATCCCGCGAACACTGCCAAGTGGTTTTTGACAGGGACGGTGGGGGTGGTGGTGCGTGGCCTGCTGTGCGCAGGCCCACCAGATACAATGATGGGCTTTGGTTTTCGACAAGGATGGCGGGGGCCGACACGTTTTCCGATGTGTGCTGTCAAGTGCGCAGGCGCACCGGACGCACTCTGTACGCACCCCGAACGTGGCGCACTTGGCGCGGCTGGAGTGTGCAGCACAGCTGGCGCACTCGAAGCACGTGGCGCATCTGGCGCACCAGGCGTTCCTGGCACGCTCAGGCCCCAGGGGTGCCTGGCGCGCGTGGCGCCCCTAGCACGCGCGGCGCACCCCGTTCAAGCGTCGCGCACCTGGGGTCGGCTTCGGTTCCCAGTAGCTGTCCATCCAAAGACGACCGCTGAACATGCTCAGGCTCGGGTGTTACTTAATGTTGGGAGGGCGGGTGGGAGTGAGTGAGTGATCTAAACGGCTTGCGGGCGGGTGGGTAGCTTGATTCCTACCCCTACCCCCTCCTCTGGGTCTGGACGGGGGGAGGGGAGGGGGGCGAGGGGTTGGAACGTCTACGTAACACTGTCCACACATGGCATAATACAACCCAAGTTGAACCATGATCGCGCCTTGACTGCCTTCAAGAGGCCATGCGATACCTCCAAGACGGATCCACAGGGCTCCGAAGTCTCAAGGATGCCCCCCAGGAGGCGAACATAAGTTATACTCAGGATTGACAAAATGTGTTTGGGTTTCTCGTCTTTTCGTTCCTGATGGTCTCTTGAGAACCCAAGAAGGGTGCTCTAAGAGAACCCCGCCAAGAGCGACATAAAAACATCCCGAAAAGGCCCCAAGAGGCGACTGTTTTTGCTCCAGAGGGGGTATCCAAATTGACGCCACCCCGTATTTAGGATCTATGTCCTTCAATGTGACGGCCTTCCTTTGACGGCCCCCGAACCCCAAATAATAAGGCCCCCAGAGGGCGCCGAATGCTGCCAAATGTGTCCCCGAAAGCTCCTCGATGGCCCCAGGTCGAATCCTTGTTTCTCCGCGCCTCTCCGTTGCCAAACCAACCCAAGAATCAACCATACAAAAAATCCCCGCGGCACTGGTGCGGGAGGCCGCCCATGCCAAAGGAAAAGCTACGGCAGGGGAGTGTGGAACAGAAAGGGCTGCCCCCCCTTCTTCCATCCCTGCGTGTTCCTATGTGTGCGCTCTTGTCCTCCACCTGCTCCTCCTCTTCTTCCCTCTCCTCCTGATCATCCTTCTGCCCCGCTTCTTCGTCATCGTCATCGTCATCCTTCCAGGCTTCGTACTGAACATCCCTCCCTCTACCTCCAACTATTCCTTCTCCAGCGGTATTGTGATCCAGAAAAACAAGCGGGGCTGTTCATAACATGATTCCCCTGCTCGGGCGAATCGCGAGGGGGGCGCCCGCCAAATGGAAACTCACGGCGGCGGCGCCGGTGATCAACGCCGGCCCGCAGTCGACAGCTGGAGGGCGACAGGCGCGACGAATTCGGCACCGCTTCAGCGGAGGGGGGCAGCAGCGCTTCTGGTGCAGCGGGGCGTTTGGGCCCAAAACGCCCACAGACAGGAGAAAAACAAAAGGCGGAAGGAAGAGGCGCCTCAGCGGGCGGGCGGTGCCGACACGGCTGCAAACAAGAGAAGGAAGACGGGGGGAAGCGCAGCAGGGGCGGTAGTCAAGGGCTCTTCCTTCTCCTTCTCCACTCCGCCGCCCCCCTCTCCACTACAATCTGTCCGGAGAGACGAAGGCGGCGACGGCGACGGCGGACGACGACGCACTGCGGATGCTCCGTGGGAGGAAGGGGGCGGCGGGGGTGCTGCGCATGTCTGGTTTACTCGACGACGACGACGAACTGCGGATGCCCATTTTTTTGTTGGGGGGTGCTGCGTAGGCCTGGTGTAGTCCGTGACAAAAACGACGGCGGCGACGGAGACGACGATGACGACGACGACGGACGATGATGCACTGCGGATGCACCTAGAGGAGGGGTGCTGCGCTGTGAATCCCGCTGCAGTCGACGACGACGACGACGGCGACTGTGGCACGTCAGTAACCAGTCTGAGAGAGGCAGCAACTTCGCCTCGGATGTATACGATCCCTATAACAACTTCAATACGAAAAACAATCGTTTTTAGGCTGCCGTGCAGGGCGGTACACGATCCTCTCGGCTGCGCCCGTGACGACCCCCCCTGGCGCGCGTGATGAACAGTAAGTTTTCCGCCCCGCGGGGTATAGTTATCAGCCCCAGGGGAAGGGGGGATCATTTATTAAACACAAGCTGACAATACGTCATCGGGTCAGTCCGAGCCAAGGTATCGAAAGGTCCTGTCTGTTTTCGGAGGGCCTCCGCGGTTGACTTCATACAGTGTCCGAATAAACCTTCGCGTCGACCCGCATGCTCCCGTACTTGTTTGGTCCAGCCTGCTCTCCTGAGATAAGCCTCGGGATGGGCTTGTGAGGAGACTTGAGGCGAATCTCCCAACCATCCTGTGATTTTGGGTCCTCGTCTCGAAGAGACGGTCCCCGTGTCTCCTCCCTCTCCTCTCCTCTCCTCCTCCTCCCCTCCTCCCTCACGCACACCTTTCATACGTTTCGTGGCCCCATAGGGAGCTGCACCGTAGGCCCATATACCGGCGCTCGCATGTGGTCTCCACACCCACTTTGGCACACCCCTCACACGTTTCGTGGCCCCATGGGGAGCTCCACCGAAGGCTCAGATGCCAGCGCTCGCATGTGGTCTCCGCAACCATTTTGGCACACCCCCTCACACGTTTTGTGACCCCATAGGGAGCTCCACCGAATGCGCTGCACACAACGACAATGCCCACAACTGCATATGGTCGGGCCCGTCGCAAGGCTAATTTTTGGGGTGGGGGGTGAAGGGGGAGTTCTTGACCTGTGGGGGCCCTCGCCGTGCCCCGGCGCTGTCGAACACGACGCGGGAGGAAAGGCCAGCCCTGCGGAAGGGGTCGAGACACAGGGGTGTCCGCGTTGAGAAGCAACAAGACACAACGCCGGGGGTCTGGGTCTGGAGGCATCTGGGGGCGCAAAAAAAAGCCAAAGGGTTCAACAACTACAGTTGGCACATGCGATAAGAAACCTTGCTACGAGAAATTCTGAGGGCACATCCCAGCTCTGAGCTTTGCACGGTGCCCCTGGGCTCTCCTGCCCCATCGGAAGATATTGAATTATCGTGGGGCGCCCGTTGGCAGGGCAATTTCTTACTTTGCATGCCTGCTGTAGTGCAAGGGAGGCCACCCACTAAACCATACGTCCAGTGCCTAGCTTTGCTCGTTACGAGGTCCCCGGAAGTCTCGACCCTTCTCCCCAGGCCCAGCTTTGAATCCTGAACTGTTTTGGTTCGGAGTGGCCAGCTCAACAGGTGGCCTGCCGATGGGGGGGGAGGGGTATGTACGCCCAGGGACCAAGCCGAGGGACAGAAGGGCATGGAGGGGATTTGCGTGCTGGGGGAGGGGGAGGACGAGGATTGAGAGAAGAAGAGGGGAGGAGGGGGGCGGATGATGAGGATGATGACGATGATGACGACGACGAGGATGGTGATGCTGATTATGATTCTGATGATGCTGCTGATGATGCTGATGATGATGACGATGATGATGATGATGCTGATGATGCTGACGATGACGATGATGCTGCTGCTGATGATGATGATGATGATGACGCTGATGATGATGAGGATGATGATGGTAATGATGATGACGATAGTCATACTGAGGGTGATGCTGATGACACTGATGATACTGATAATAATGATGATGCTGATGATGATGATTCTGATGATGATGGTGATTCTGATCATGCTGCTGATGATGACGATGGTGATGATGATGATGATGATGATGGTGATGATGATGATGATGATGATGACGACAATGGTGACCCTGATGATGCCGATGACGACGACGATGACGATGATGCTGACAATGATGCTGACGACGATGACGATGCTGTTGCTGATGACGTCGATAATCCTCATGATGATAATGACGCTGATGAGGATGATGATGGTGATAAGACTGCTTATGGTGATGATAATGATGACGATGATGGTGATGATGCTAATGCTGATGACGATGACAACGACGATTATGCTGACGATGATGCTGATGGTGATGACGATGACGCTGATGGTGGTTATGACGATTCCGATGATGATGATGATTATGATGACGATTACGATGCTGATTACGATGACGATGCTGCTGATGATGATGATGATGATGCTGATGACGCTGATGATGATGATGATGATGATGATGATGATGATGTGATGCTGATGTTGATGATGCTGATGATGCTGATGGCGATGATGAGGATGATGATGATGATGACAATGGTGATGCTGATGATGATGGTGATGGCACTAATGATGATGCTGATGATGAGAATTATGATGCTGATTCTGATGATGACGGCGATAATGATGACGATGATGATGCTGATGCTGAACGTGATGATGATAATGACGATGATGCGGATGACCATGACGTTGATGATGGCAATGACGGTGATGATGATGGAGGTATTGATGATGATGCTGCTGATGATGATGATGATGCTGATGATGACGCTGATGATGCGAACGATGCTGATCATGATGATACTAATGACGATGACGATGATGGTGAACTCGACGATGAAGATTATAATTAAGATTACGCTGTCAATGCTGATGATGACGCTGATGATAGTGATGGCGATGATGATGATGACGGTGATCATGGTGGTGATGATGACGATGATGACTATGACGATTACCATGATTATGGTGACGACGATGAGGATGCTGTTTTTGACGATGATGATGGCGATGAAGCTGATGATGGTGATGATGATGATGATGTTGATGCTGATGGTGATGACGATGATGATGATGATGATGATGGTGATGATGACGATGACGATGACGATGATGACGACGATGAGGAAGATGATTCGGATGGCACTAATGATGATTCTTATGATGACGATGATGGTGACGATGATGATGATTATGACGATGACAATGATGATGATCATGTTGATGAACATGATGATGGGAATGACGCTGGCGATGCTGCTGATGATGATGATGATGATGTTGGTTATGATGATTCTGACGATGATGTTGATGAGGGCGATGATGATACGGATGCTGATGCCGATTCTGATGATGATGGCGATAACGATGACGACGACGATGGTAATAATTACGATGATGGTGATGATGAGGATGATGACAATGCTGATGATGATGATGATGATGCTGATAATGATGGTAGTGATGATGATGCTGATGATGATGACGATGGTGCTGCTGACGATGAAGACGAAGATGAAGATGAAGATGAAGATGCTGATGATGATGATGATGATGATGATGATAATGATGATGCTGATTCTGATGAGGATGATGCTGGTGATTATGATGCTGGTGATGATGCTGCTGATGATGCTGCTGATGCTGATGCTGATGCTGATGCTGATGCTGATGCTGATGATGATGATGATGATGATGATGATGATGATGATGATGATGATGATATTGGGAGGAGGAGGAGGAGGAGGAGGACGAGGAGGAGGTGGTGGTGGTGGAGGACAGAGGAGGCGAGGACAAGGATTGGGAGGAGAACGAGGAAGAGCCGCCGGAGCTAGGAGGAGCAATGTCCTGCGAATCACCTGGCCGCCAGAATCCACGTTGGGAGGAGGGAAGCGAGGACGAAGACTGAGAGAACGGAGGCGAGGACGAGCATCAGAAGAACGGAGGCCGGGACGAGGATATGGGGGAGAGCGAAGACGGGGCGGGCGAACTCACATCATGGTGTCGATGAGTGCGCTCTGCATCCCCACGCCAGGCGCCTGGTGCCCGGGAGGGGGAGGAGCAGGTGGAGAAGGAGGATGAGGATGAGGAGGAGGAAGAGGAGGAGGAATACGAAGGGAAGAAAAGCAGGACGGGGGGTCGAGGAGAAGGGGGAGGGGAAACAGGAGAAGCAGCAGCAGGAGGAGGAAGTCAGGGAGAGAGGGATGAGGAGGAGGAGGAGGGGGAGGAGGAGGAGGAGGAGGAGGAGGAGGAGGAGGAGGAGGAGGAGGAGGAGAGGAGAAGGAGAAGAGGAGAGGAGGAGGAGGAGGAGGAGGCGGAGGAGGAGGAGGAGCGAACGTCCACTGGCGGGGACGTCTGGTTGAGCTCTGAACGCGCCGCGGCGCGCGGCCCGCACCACCGCTCAGGTCAGAGGGGCGTCGTAAGGCCCGGCGCGCGGCGGCGGTCGCCTCGTAGAAAGTGTTCGGGTTCGTGGAGATGGTCTTTCGTTAGGTGGTAGAGGCGCGTCGCGACGCCCATGCGGATGGCCGAGCTGCACACCCCGTTCTCACCCTCGTACGGCGTCCGCACGCCTGGGGGCCCCATCCGCACCAGGACGTCCGAGCTCATCTGTCCCCTCGGGTTTTCAATGTGGTGGATCATCTTCGGGCACTGCAAATAGTGCTGGATGGCGCTTCTGCGGGGTCGCGTGCATGCGGTCGGTGGTAGTCCAAGCGCCCGCGAGGACCTTCAGGATGGCCCAGGTGCGCGATGGAGGCTGCGTCGCGAGGCACTTGCGGAGGCGCGCCCAGCGCTCGGCGCTGGAGCTGGATCAGGTCTGGCAAGTCGCTCTCCGCATCTTCGTCGTGCTCATCTTTCCGTAGTGCGGTGGAGGGTTCTCCTCGTTGGGGAAGCGGTCGCGTTGGCTGCGCATCCAGCGCCTTCTCGCGCGATGCTCGGCCGTGGTGAAGCGGCGCAGCGCCCGCTGACGTCGTAGTCGATCACTGTCGTGGCCCACGTCGCCAAGCAGGGCAAGCTCCAGACGACCCCGCGCCAAGTTGGACGTGGCCCAAGCGTTCGCGCAGATCTCGACGGCAACGCGGTGGCGCTGTGCCCGAGTGCGGTGCGGCGGCTGGAACAAGTCGTTGCGCAGCGCGTGGTAGAAATGCTCGACGCACCACTCGTCCCAATTGATCTTGCTGTGGATGCCACGACCCTGAAACGTGACATCTGGGATCCATGAGCTCGCCCGGTACGCCGCGCGGTTAGGTGGTTGTATTGGGGCAGCTGTTCCACGGCGGGCAGCGTGCTTGCGCGCTGCGACGAGAGCCCCGGCGGCGCGTTGGACCGTGCCCGGCGAGCGGACGAGGCGCTTGTAGTGCGAGCCCGCGGCCCTGACGAAGAAGGTGGAGCGGGTGATCTCCGCGAAGCGCTGCGCGATGGCAGCGGGGTTGGCCCGGAGGGGCATGCTGGCGCCCACTTTCGGCCGTCGCAGTGCTGTGGCGATCGTAGGCAACGTCGCGAAGCGAGTTAAACCAGCCTCTCCAATCCGAGACGGTCTTGGTAGTTTTCCTCCAGGGGGTGGGCGACAGGGGCAACTCGATGTGGTTAGGCGTCTCGACGTTGGTCCATGACGCCATGCCGAGGACGTCGGGCTTGGCGAAGCTGTTGGGTGCAACGCGGAGCAGCTTGTGGGTGCAGTGGCGCTCATTCGCGAGGGGCGCTTCGGGGGGTTCGCGCAGTTGACCCACGCGGGAGAGGCAGGTGACGGCAGCAACGTTGAACAACTTGATGCTTTGCTGAAGTGGCGCGCGGTCCCGCCATGTTGCAGCAGGGCCGCGCCATTGGTCAGGTGGGCTGGCGCTGGGGCCAGCGAAGAAGCCGAGATCGCGCGCCTTGTCTGCGATCGTGAAGCGGGCCCAGGGCCCGTGAATAGACGCCAGCATGGTCTGCGCGCGGGCGGCCAGGTCCTTGGTCGGGAGTGTCCATGTCGGCGCGATGATGCACCTCTTGACCTTCAGCTTGAGGCCGGCGAGCTGGTCGGCTGCGAGTAGGCGTGGTGCCAGGTGTTTAATGCCGCGAAGGCGTTACAGAACGATCCCGAGGTCGTCGGCGCAGGCGCGGACTGCGCCGCGCCGCAGTTTCTGAATCGCAGCGGAGGCGGCGCGGGTTGCAGGGTCGGAGATCAAGGCCCACGCCGCGCCGCTGCGCGGGCAGCCTCGTGCGACTCCTGAGTCGGCGCGCAGGGGCGGGCGGCGGGCTCCCCTGAGCGAGAGTTTGAAGAGCGGGGACAGGTAGAACGTCTGGAGCAGCTGCCACATGTCGCCGTTGATGCCCCAGCGGCTAAGGTTAAGTCGGGCGCGTCCCTCTACGGGTCGAATATTTGAAAGTAGTAAAAAATTAGTATGGTGGCGAATTTATAAGGCATCTTCAAAATACACAAAGATAGTCAGGACATTGCCTCCTTGACAGAAGCTTCGCTAGCAGACGGCGCACGCGTCTGGAAAACATGCTGCGCCGCGTGGCGTCGTTATGACCTGTTGCGCCGCTCGTGGTGGCGACAGCGCGCGCTACCGCGTTTTGGCGCGCGTGTGCTTTTGCAGCGAAGTGGCTTGTGCGCAGCGCACAGTGAGGATCGACTGCGCTTTGCCATCGCATGCCGGATGGCGCTGCGGCGCCATTAGAAACCGATGCGACGCATCCTCGTTTCGGCGATCACCCTTCTGACATTCGCTTGTGGTTTTGGAGGCCCAGGCCCTGCGTTTGCACTGTTCGTCCCCGCAGCCGCAACCATCGCCCGAACAGGCTCTGCGGCCGCTAGAATTCACATTTCATGGCAGAAGATACCATATTCCTCCACGACTGCGTACCTTCTTTGCGCATCAACAAAGTCATGGCTTTTTTTCCTGGTTCCTTTCTTCGCTCCTCCTTCGACCGTTTCACACAGTCGCTGTTGGTCGCGTTTCCCTCCCGTGATTCTCCGAGATGCCATGGGGCGTCGTCTTTAAACCGCCGCTTTTAGGGCTGGATTGCAAGACGTGCCCGTCGCTTCGTTCGCTCTCACGGGCTTGCCAGTGGCGGGGTTTCCGATCGCGTCGGGCGCAACGAAGCGCGCGACGCTCCAATCGGACGTCTCTGAAAACGCGGCAAGCGACAGGATGGCGCCAACAAGCACATCGCTGGAACAGTCGCAAGAGTTTGCGCGAGGCCCCCTGCTGCAATCCCACGGGGCGCGTGCCGCCGCCGCGACTGCGCCGAAACATTGCGACGCGCCGTCATCAAGCGCCGCCTCTGTGAACGAGGGCCGCCTACAGCACAGTAGCGATAGACGAACGGCTCCGATGGGGGGGCACGTGCGGCGGCATTATCCCCCATGCGGGCCAAAACGGTTGACCTGGCCACCTGTGGCAAGTGGCGACCTATGCGCCGCGGCACGCGCGCGCGCCAGTGAGCGCTTGGCATCTGGCGCGCTGGCATTGCGTTGTCTAGAGGTTTTCACATACATCATGTTGAGATGGCTGCGCCTTCCAACCCGAGAATGAAATTTTACATTGCGTTTTGACCATTTGGTTTCCAGCTTAAAAATCGCACCCCGTTGTTTAGAATCGTAGACACCACGCCGCAAGCGCGCGCGGACGCCTGCCATCTCGCGCGCTGGCATTGTATGGTGTATACGTTTTTATACACACCACGTTGACATGAACGCGCCCTCCGCTCAGAAAATAAAATGTTACATTGGGTTTTGACCATTGGGTTTTTATCTTAACATCGCCGCCCATGGTATAGAGAAGCGTTAGCGCCGCGCTGCGAGCGCGCTGGCACTGCACTGTGCATACGCTTTCCCATTCACCATGTTCCGGGTGCTGCGCCTTCCGATCCGAGAATGATTTTTTACATTGGGTGTTACTTGGGTTTCAGAATTGACATGCCCGCCACATGTATAAAAACGTATACACCACGCCGCGCGCGCGTGGGTGCCTGCCACCTCGCGCGTTGGCACTGCATCGTGCATGCGTTTTCATATACACCACGTTGAGGAGATGGCCGCGCCTTCCGATCGGAGAATGAATTTTTACAATGGGTTTTGACCATCGGGTTTTCGACTTGACATCGCCGCCTATGGTCGAGAAATGCATGCGCCACGCCACGAGCGCGCGCGCGCTCGCGCGCGCGGGGGCCTGGCATCTCGCGCGCTGACATTGCATTGTGTATACCTTTACAGATGCACCTATACGCCATGTTCTGATGGCTGCACCTTCCGTTCCGAGAATGAAATTTTACATTGGGTTTTGACCATTCGGTTTCCGATTGGGCAACGCCGCCCATTGTTTAGAATCGTATACGCCACGCTGCGCGCGCCTGGCATCTCGCGCGCTGGCATTGCATTGTGTATACGTTTGCGTATACACCACGTTGAGATGGTCGCGCTTTCCGATCAGAGAATGAATATTTACATTGGGTTTTGACCACTGAATTTTCGAATTAAAATCGCCGCCCATGGTGTAGAAATGCATGCACCGCGCCGCGAGCGTGCGCGCGCGCGCGCGTTGGCGCCTGGCATCTCGGGCATCGCTATTGCATTGTGTATGGACACCCCACACGCCGAATGTCAATTTCAGCACGCCCCTCATGCGTTTCGCGGCCCTATCGGGAACTCCACCGATGGCCTCAGCGGCTATGTCCACGCGCGGCCCCCCGCCCACCGCGCGCCCGTTTCGGCGAGCCCCTCGCGCACTTCGCGTCCCCGCTGGGAGCTCCGCTGATGGCCCCAATGGCCATGTCCGCACGCGCCCCCTCCCCTCCCTCCCCTCCGCCACCGCCCCCGCCCACCCCGTGCCCATTTCGGCGCGCTCTCACGCGCTTCGCGGCCCGCGGGAAGCTCCACCGAAGGCCCCGGTGGCCATGTCCACGTGCGACCCCCCGCCCACCTTCGGCACGCCGCGCGCGCGTTTCGCGGCCGCCAAGGGGGCCCCACTGAAGGCCCCAGTGGCCATGCCCGCGTGCCGCTCCGCTCGCGCCGCCGTGCCCATTTCGGCGCGCCCCTCGCGCGTTTCGTGGCCCT